TCAAATTTGCAGTATAATCAAAGGTCTGAGATCAATTTAACAGGTCAATATTTTATTGCTCTCCAGAAATTTTTGTATCATGCAAACTACTGATCAGCTTTTCCAGCTGATTACATTAATGAATTTGTGAAGTCCCTTCAAGTTTAAGAATCTCTTAATTTTTCTCAGCTGAGATCTATTTGACTAGGATTATAACCTCAGTATTTTGTATTCTCCCTCTCTCTTGACATCCAAGTTCTCATACAGTTTAAAACACATTTTCACATACAAAAAAGGTCTGAAGAATCTGTACTGTTCCCACAGAGCACAAACGATGTTCCTAAAAACCATTCATTCATGTTAAAGATTATTTCATAAATGGTGGCACTGTGTAATGGACTTACGATCCAACAACTTATGACCAGACATTAATCAACAGACAGCACACTGAATAAATGAAGGAATCTCCATTATTAACAGATGGCTAAGTTCTAGCAGTTGCTATTTTATAAGCTGCAAAGGATAAGGACAGTATAACCAAAGTGTTCAAACAGCAGTTGTTACTTTGTAAGAAAATATCACAGAATGCAAACCTGCAAGAATATTTTTTAAAAAATCTCAATTTACATATGGTTTAGTCATCAAATATAATCTTTTTCCCTTGGAATGCTGTGATTTGAGACATTTGTTCCCGACGTCTCTTGCTTGCTTCCCATGACGGATGAAGAGGCTGCTCCAAACATGCTTTCTTACTATCATGTTTAATACCTACAGGTTTTGCAAATGGTTGCTTCTTGAGCTGTGGTTCCTTTTTAAGAAGAGCTGTGCAAGAAGTACAAAATAGATCATTAACTACATCATGAACCTTCATAAAAATATGATAAATCTACCGTGGGATTGTAGATATTTTCAACAATTTCTTAATGAGCCATGGGGAAAACATTAATCTAAATGTTCACAGCAAGATTTCCTTATCTTGCAGTGCAGTCAATTGTCACTTGGTAGACTGCAGATAGTTCAAATTTATTATTACTGACCATCATTCAAAATTTGTGTAGATAAAGATTCAGCATAATGTCAAATTTTCTTCACAATAAATCAATTCAGTTACACAATGTAAGTCAATATGACTGAAATTGTATCCCTGATCCAATGAATTCCAAAATAGAACCTTAAACTACAAATGGCACAAAATATTGAAGGAACTATTGAAGGAATTACTCACGACATAAACTACCTGCTAAATAAAATAATCTGACGCAATCTGTGCACATATCTGTGCAATATGAAGACAGACAGAAAAGCACTCTGCTGTGTAAACTCTACTTTAAGTATTTCTGATATTCAAAAATAGAAAATTGCAAACAATATCCATAGATTAAAACAAAAGCTCAACAACTTGACCATTTTAACCACAAATGTTAAAATATGTCACACAACATCTAAATGAAGAAACCCCCCAGCCTATCATAATAAGACTGCAAAGGCAACAAAATCTCAAGATGTTTTTACTCTTGTAACTTTACTAGGCTAAGTAACACATACCTGTTCTTCCCTTTTTGAGAGGCTGGTCTTTAGTATTTCTAAAAGTAAAAAGAGAATTTAAGATTTTTCAAGACACTTGTAAGATGACAAACACCTGTGAATAAAGAATTATCATCACTAAAACACTTGTCCAATTTATTTTCAACTGTAACATGCAAACCCCTTACATATTGTGTCCTATTTGTTAATAAAGATGTATAAACAGAAGTATTCAGTAGTGATTTCATTTAGAAGCAAGTCTGGTTAGAAATCCTATTTATATGTCAGTGCTAATGTGAATATTAATAATACCCAAGTGTCAAGAAAGCACAAGGAGTCTGCAGAGTAGTTAATGTGAAAATGTACTAAGCTGTAATTGACTGAAATTCTCCTTGTTTGGTAAGGGATACTAAAAATCACAATGATTTCCATGACTGGGAAGAGACAGGGAATGGAGAATGTGAAAAAGGGAAATGGTTTACCTTCTTCTGTTCTGAGATTTATGATTAGAGGTAGACAAAGAACTGCAGAACATTGATTCCAGCTTGCTTGCTTTTGCATCTGGCTTTCCTTCTTCCATGATCAAATCCTGCGCTATGTTCTTTTCTTTCTTTGCTATGTTTTTCTGAAGTCTATCCTTCTCTTTGGCTGAAGAAAGACCACTAACTGCTGCTACCTTTTTCTTTCTTTTCACTTTGCCAATGAAGAAATCATCATTGCTGTCACTATCAGAATCCAATGACTGGTTATAAAACCTCTCTTCAGTACTATCATCAAAGTACTCCTCTTCATTAGGCTGTTCCTTGTCACTATAATCAGTTTTTTCTTTTACTGCATTTAATTTGTTCATGCTTATATTTTCTTTCCTTTTTTGATAGCCAAGTTTCTTTCCTGTTTTATTCTTAGCAACTGCTTGCATTTCTACTGCCTGAAATGAAGATTTTTCTGGAGCATTTGCACTCTCCATTTCCACAGTTTTCTGCTTAGATTCACTCTCACCAAGTTCTTCAGCCACCCTGTCAGTTTCTACTTCTGTACTAACTTTTGGTTTGTGTTCACATCCCTGCTGTTTCTGAACTAGTTTAAGAGCTTGGTCATCGAAATTGCTATTGAAATGTTGCACTGATTTAGGCTGTTCTTCTGACTTAGCCTTTTTCAAAGGAGTGTCTTTGGACGGTTTCTTTCTTGCATCCTGAAAAGCTTTTACAGCAGCTATAAAAGAGGCAGAAGAAAAATATTTTGTTGATTTGATGAAAACTATGAGTTTACTTAAGTTAATTTACTATAATAAAATATTTTTGCAAATATGTTGTATTAAGTAAGCATATTTTGAATGTCCTTATCAACCATTTACTGAATGCATGGGACAAGAAACACCTTAGAGTACTGCATCAACAAAAGTGAAAAAAAAATTTATTACCAAATGAATACAGTTAAACTTGGGTTTAACTGTGAACCTCTCATTCAGCAAATTGTCTGCAGCTGATAGTCATGTTCATTTAGGGCATTACTTTACGTGTAAAAACTGTGAACAAATAGTAAATCTCTCAGATATGATGAAATGGATATTTGACATGCTCCGTTACTAACAAAGTAATTCTGTGACATTATTACTTGGGTGGTGACCCTTTTTAACACGAAGTTTAGTTGAAAAATTTGAGTTCAAAGAGAACTCGAGATAACCTAAAGTACCAGGAAAGACTCCCTAAGGATTCTGATGACAGTTTCCAGGGAAGCTCACAGAATCACAGAATATTAGGAGTT